GAGTTTCACAATCTGTGTTGAATTACTGAAATAAATGAACTTTTCCACGACATTCTAATTTATTGAGATGCACCTGTATATTTAAATTTTGTTATTTAGCAAATGCTTTTATCCAAAGCGACTTACAAATGAGGACAATAGAAGCAATCAAAACCAACAAAAGAGCAATAATATGCAAGTGCTATATTAGTATATTATTATAGTGTTATATTTCAATTTCACAAAGAAACGTACAGTATTTTGTCCAAGCAATACTAAAAGGACACATTTAATTTATAATTTGTCTTAAATCTCATTTTGTTAAAAAAAAAAATCGTGAATCAAATCGAATCGTGAGTTGAGTGAATCGTTACATCCCTAGTTACCCCCAACACTGCTTGCGCAGAGCAGACGGTCTACTCACTGTTTGTGTTCGGCGGCGGTGGGACGTCTCTCCTTTGGCTCTCGTTCGGAGGTCTGATGATCCGAGGCGGGACGTCTGGGACTCGATCCGTGTCTGACGGATCATCTACAGGAGCGCTGGAGGAGCAGACAGAGGAAGATTCATCATTACTCAGATCTGAGGACAGTCTGCTGAGCAGCCGACCGAACTTCTTCATGGTGAGGATTCGACGCTAGCGGCAGACAGAGAGAGATCAGGATCGTGTCGCCGCACGCCTCTGAGTTCAGAAGCAGCTGACGCAACACGTTCAATGAGAGCAGATAGCGATCGACCAACACACCTGTACTGATCTTCACACGAGTCACACAGACAGAATCCTTCCATTAAAGTCACATAAAAATCATAATAGACTTGACTTTATGTTTCTGCTCGATTTTTTGTTCATTTAATAATTTTATGTTAAAACTTCCTGTATATTACATCATACTACAAATCCATGCTTGCATAATAACTATAGGATTAACAACAACACAGCGTAGGCTGCTCCAGGAAGTAATTATTAAATACAAGTTGTGCAATGATTAATTAGGGTATTAAACATTATTATTCTATTCACATCACTGGTCAAAATTTTGGAACACGAAATATGACGTTTAATATTTTTGAAAGAAGTCTCTTTTGCTCATCAAAGCTGCATTTATTTGATTAAAAATTGTGAAATATATTTACAATGTAAAATATCTGTTTTCTATGTGAATATCTGTTAAACTGTAATGTATTTCTGTGATGCGCAGCTGTATTTTCAGCATCATTACTCCAGTCTTCAGTGTCACATGATCTTCAGAAATCATTCTAATATGCTGATTTGCTGCTCAAGAAACATTTCTGATTATTATCAATGTTGAAGACAGTTGTGCTGAACAATATTTTTGTGGAAACCGTGATGCATTTTGTTTTTAAGGATTCACAGATGAATAGAAAGTTCAAAAGAACAGCGTTTATTTGAAATAGAAATCTACTGTAACATTATAAATGACTTTACTGGCACTTTTGATCAATTTAATGTGTCCTTGATGAATATAAGTATTAATTTTTACAAACTTTTGAATGGTAATGTATCACAAATTTAACAAAAATATGTGACACTGAAGACTGGAGAAATGATGCTGAGAATTCAGCTTTGATCACAGAAATAAAGTACAGTTTAACAGATATTCACACAGTTACTTTAAATTATAATATTTCACAATTTTACTGCATGTTTGATCAAATAAATGCAGCCTCGGTGAGCAGAAGAGACTTCTTTCAAAAACATAAAATAATTCAGCTGCTAGTACATTTGTCTGATAAACTTGTTCTAAATCATAAACACAACAGACAGTAAGTCTTACTGCAGCAGTAAAAATAAATTCTACAGCGTGTTCTCACACAATAAACCCTGAGTAAATGTGAATAAAAGGTGGACTTGGCCACGTTTCGAAAGCTGTCTGACATTCACCCTACATTTACAGAGAATACAGGAATTCACAGGTTTATTTCAGAATCAGCAGCGTTTGTTGAACATTTATCGGACTGGAAACACATTTCCTGATGTGTGTTAAAGATCAGGCTCATGTGGACGGTCAAACAATGCTGCTTCCTGAGTCCAGCGGAACAACATCGGTTTTACAAAACAAAACATCTGCTAAAGACTGAATTATGAATGAAGCCTTCACTAAGCGCTTCAGCTCTGTAACTTCAGAAATACTGTTGCACTCTCGCAAAAGAAAAGATATCAGGATGAACAAACTTCCTGTTTGATGCTGCCGTGTGTTTTGAGTTTGAGCTCCGTCAAGTTAATTCTATATCGTCTATTTTTATCTTAAAATCAATTTTATGCACCATAATTTTCGTTTCTATAACGTGTGAATATATCCCCTATCGTATTCTACAACAAAAACAATCAGAGCGCCTTGTTATCACTAGTTTTATTTTGATTTCCCGAGTCCGCTATTAGCAAATAGCCCGCTAGCATCGCCAGCGTGGTTGCCGCTAATCTCGCTTACATTACTAATACTCTATTCACAAACATTACCATTGTTTTACTCACTGTTACCTGCTTTAATGGCGGATGTGTGTCTACCTTTGAGTGCAGGCGAGGACACGTTCAAGCTGCATTCGGTGCAGCTCGAGCTGGAGGCCGTGGAGAAGCAGATCCGCGACCTGGTGAAGAGGCAGGCCCAGCTGAGGGAGCGGAGAGCCGCGCTGGAAACATCCCAGGCTGACGCTCACAAGTCCGAGGTAAGTATACAGCGCGCTGCTAATTCTCCCACCACCTCTACTCCGTGTGTTTCTCTGCACAGGCCCGGTGCACCCAGGACGCGATCTTCCCAGATGTTCTTCACTCCGGCGCCGGGACACCACGGACCCTGGGTGCAGCCGCAGCGGAAGACGCGAGCCAGGCCCCGGGCGACGACCTCTCCCCCCCCGCCGCCTCCGGTCTTCGAGATCTCCACCCGGAACCACTTCGCTCCCCTCCGCGAGACGGAACGCGACGCTGTGATCATCGGAGACTCCATCGTCCGGCACGTCCGTGCTACGTTAGCTGAAGGTAAAGTGCACACTCACTGTTTCCCTGGTGCTCGTGTTCTCGATGTTTCTGCGCAGATACCCGCGATCCTGAAGGGCGACGAGAGCACCGGAGCGGTCGTGCTTCACGCGGGGGTTAACGACACCAAGCTGCGGCAGACGGAGACACTGAAGAGGGACTTCAGGAGCCTGATCGAGACGGTGCGCCGCACATCGCCCGCGACGACGATCATCGTGTCAGGACCGCTTCCCACGTATCGACGAGGACACGAAAGGTTCAGTAGACTTTTTGCTTTAAATGAATGGTTATTGTCATGGTGTAAAGAACAGAAACTGCTCTTTGTTAATAATTGGAATCTTTTCTGGGAGCGTCCTAGGCTTTTTCGCGCTGATGGCCTGCACCCCAGCAGAGTCGGAGCGGAACTCATGTCGGACAACATCTCCAGGACGCTACGCACCATATGACTAGTAAGTCAAATCTCAAATAACTGCCCTGATGACTTGTGTTCTACCCGCTTAAATGATAGAAGTACTTGTGCTGTCCAATCTATAAAGACTGTGTCTGTTCCCCGAATAGTGAGGTCAAAATATAAATTTAATGCAGGATCTAGAAAAAATCTTATCGTGATTAAACCAGAAAAATGTAAAATAAATGAACAAAAACAATTTTTAAAGTTTGGGCTCCTAAACATTAGATCACTCTCACCCAAAGCAGTTATTGTAAATGAAATAATCACAGATAATCGTTTTGATGTACTCTGCTTGACTGAAACCTGGCTAAAACCTAATGATTATATTGGTCTAAATGAGTCTACTCCACCAAGCTACTGTTATAAGCATGAGCCCCGTCAGACTGGTCGTGGCGGCGGTGTTGCAACAATATATAGTGATATTCTCAATGTTACTCAGAAGACAGGATACAGGTTTAACTCATTCGAAATACTAATGCTTAATGTTACACTGTCAGATATGCAAAAGAAATCTATCGTATCTCTTGCTCTGGCTACTGTGTATAGACCACCAGGGCCATATACAGATTTCCTAAAAGAATTTGCAGATTTCCTCTCAGACCTATTGGTTACTGTTGATAAAGCGCTAATTGTCGGAGATTTTAACATTCACGTTGATAATACAAATGATGCATTAGGACTTGCGTTTACTGACCTAATAAACTCTTTTGGAGTCAAGCAAAACGTCACCGGGCCCACTCATCGTTTTAATCATACGCTAGATTTAATTATATCGCATGGAATTGATCTTACTGATATTTAATAGTGTTCATCGTCTGTTTGATTACGTCTTTAATTGATTTTTCTGTACATTTCTGCCATATGTACATTAACTGACAGTCACCACTGATAAGCTACCACTAAATATTGTAGAAACTTAATTTGCTGTAAAGTTGCTTTGCAACGATTTGTAAAAAGCGCTATACAAATAAACTTGAATTTAACTGAATTGAATTGAACCAGGAAAATCCAGAGAGACGTTCAGTTCGGTGTGTTAAAGAATAACTGCTAACCAAAGAGCAGCGCAATGAACGTTGGAGAGACTGATTCATTCTTCTCTTCTGCTTTCACATCCTCAATTTAACCAACGATTTCATTCATCATCAATTTTTTTTATTTTTTATTATGGCTTCATTTTTGCATCCTAGACTTTCTGGATCAACTTAAAAATATATTTTTATATTTAATCATTTAGCAGATGCTTTTATCCAAGCGAATCTTTTAAAGGAGGCAATAACAAACACATGAAGTGCTGCTAATAAAGAGTAGTACATTTTTATTTAATGCCATGTCAGCATCTTAGGCTATTTTCATGGCAAAAACGATTACAAAAATACAAGTATAGCAAATACAATAAAAAACAGCAAACAAACAAACACAAGATGATAAAAAATCTAAAACTTTTTCTGGCAAAATTATACTAAACTCTTTAAGTGAGTTCACTTCCTAAAAGAGTTTTCTACATACATTAAAAGCGGGACGGTCCAATAAAATATGTATGACAGAAAGGGGAATCTTGCCAAACATGCATTGAGTAGGGTCTTAACTTTTCGAAGTGCTAATAAAACAAGGTTTCATATAAAAATAAAGACTATATGATCCGTGCATGCTTATAGCATGAAGCAGCTTCCATATGAAAATCCATTTATAGAGCACAGACGGACTGAGATGACTGCAGTTTCACTGGTTTATGTGTCATTGTGAAAACAGAAACCGCTGCTTTCTGACAGCTTTGTGAAAACGCCAACAGAGTCTGTGACGAAGCTTTTCCAGCTCATCTGAACACCTCGTCGGATGGAGAGATGGAAAACACAACGCTACTGGACTCTGGAGCAGCAGAAACCTGCTCTATACCTGTACTGCACATGAGTGTTATATCTACTGGATAAAAACAGCCAACCTGAGGAGCTACTGTTCCTGTCATTAGTGCTCTTTAAGTAAAAAAATGTATATTATTAACCAATAACGCTTCCTGCAGTGAAAAAGTGCATCTCCTGGTGTCTCTCACATCAAAATCCAGCCACATATTTGTTTAGAGCTGTTTAAACGCTGCTTGATCT